GTCTCTCTCTCTCTCTCTCTCTCTCTGTCAGTCTGTGTGTGTGTGTGTGTGTGTGTGTGTGTCAGTGGTGGGTTTCAAAAATTTTTGGAACCTCTTCTGTAGGTGTGGCCTGCTTTCCGGGTCCACTGGTGGAACCTCTTCTAACCGGTTCGGTAGATTTGATGAACCGGTTCTACCGAACTGGTGCGAACCGGTAGGAACCCACCTCTGTCATCTATGCTTCTTGTTAAGTAGAGTCGATCAAAGTCTATGCATGGATAAAGGGCACGATTCATTGTCATTATTTTTCGGCTCTGCCTGTCTAGTCAAAGCTTTTAGTGTGCATTTCAAGCTTCTTTACCTGCTGATTTCTTGCTTTATAGCTTTAATCTGCTGCTTTATTATTTCCAATCCTTCCTTGATCTTCACATATTTCTGGGTGGCGCTTCTGGAGCAGGTATTCTTTGCTTTGCTGTTCTTCAGCTTCTTCTTCTTCTTCTTCTTCTTCTTTTTCATCTGTTCTACCTTGCTTGCATTTGATCACAGCTTGCTGATCTTATTTTCCAACTTGGTCTTTCATTTTGGTGGTGCCCCATTTGGCCTTTTTCTTCTTTGTTTATTTTACATACAAGGTATTCAGTTATAACTGCAGACATGTTGCACCATATACAAGTGAAGCGGTTTGCTTCCTGCAGTGAACTGGTGCTTATATTTGATATTATAGTATTGGCATCTTTTATTTTTTGTGCTAGCTGTGGGGTTTTTTTTGTAACCAGCTTCAACGGAGGCAACCTCATGCTGTTGTTTTGTACTGTTCCAGATGTTCAGTTATTATTTTGTTTCAATTCTTAGAGGGCTTTGTTCTTTATTAGAAGAAGAGTGAGGAGAGGGTGCCTAGTTGGAGAATGGAAACAATTCAATAACTATACTGGCTTCCTCTACTGCCAAATCTCTCTGGTTTGCTTCTGCAGCCTGAACTACTTCTGGCAAGATTTCAATTTCTTTACCCTGGGTAAACCTGCAGTTCTTCCAATTCTGCTACTGTAAATTCTTTATTTCATATTATAAACTGGTGTTGATTTGCTTAGCCCCTGCTCTGCAATATTTCTGATTCTAGATGTTGTTCTTTCTAGAACCAGTGCATTGTTTCTGATTTTATTGGACTTATTTATAACAGCTAATCATATACCTTTGTTATCTGTCCTCATATATTTGCAATGAATAAATGCCTTTTCTTCCAATAGTCCTACAGCTACTAGCCTTGGTTGTTCAGTCAACTGTCCTATAGATCATTTGTCATTAGATGTTCAGGAATTCCAACACCCAGCACCCTTTATTGATGACCGATCTGGTAAAGGTTTCTGTAAATTATGTCCACTATATTGTTTATGGGGGAGACACACTTTATCTGGCTTCTCTAGGAGACTTGTCTATATTGTTGAACTTCTGGCATAGCTTTCAATGTCCCAGAGCACACAAAACCCGCAACTACTACATGGTAGTGTCTCACTGAGGGATTACATTTCCATTTGCCTTTGAAGAGGTACACTCAGATGCTGAGGACAGAAAATATAAGTATCTTATCTATTTACACTTCGTCCCAGAAGATTCATTTTCTCATTTGTAATTAATTGACGGAAAACAAGTTAAGGAGTTGCACATTATCAAAACAATATTCATTTTGGCTCTCTTTCATTATCCCATTTTTCCCCATTTTTTTATTTTTATTAAACAAACAACACACACACATAAAAAAATAATCATCTTGCATTACATCTTGTAGAAAGTGTGTCAATCGGTTACAATTAGCTTTCGTGCATCTCTTCCACAGTCTTTACTTACATTCATATCAAATGTCAAAGTTCTTAATGAGTCTTACTTTCAACATATCATAGTTCTCATTTGACTGAAATTGTTTTTGTGTCCTTTTGCCTAGAATAATCCATAGCTAAAAACACAACCATGGCATTTCATTAATTATTACAAAGTCATCCAATAC